CCTTTTCCAAATGCATCTTATAATTATTTATTAAAACAATAATGGCAAAGTTTGGGAAATGCTGTGATCTATTAGACTGTTACTAGTTGTCTAGAGAAAACTGATGCTAGAATGTCACTTATAAATCAGTGGTAGATAATACGACCAGAGACAATACTAGAAATTATTACTAGAGCAATAATATTACCAGAATACCATGGCTGAAATAGAATTTCTTGTCTAGAGTGTTGAAGTAAATTCCACCTTCATTGATGAAAGTGTGCTGTTAGACAAACTCAGAGCAAATACTATATTGCAACAATGACATACAGACTAACAAATTTGGGAACTGGTAGTAAACAGTAATGAAAAACTAATGAAGAAAGTAAAGCTTAATGTATATTCATAAATTGTGCTTCTGTGAACAGAAATGACCCACACTGCAAATGATGCACAACACAAATGATTGTGTTCTACAGCCTCAGCCAAATTGCCTTTATTTAAATCAGAAGCTTTCTAAATTCAAGGAAATATAAATAAAATTGTCATTGTTGCACTAGTGAAGATTAACTGGATAGTCGATCAGCAAGTACCAGTTTAGATTTAAGATTATGAAGACCTTGCTGTTTGCTTTCTCTGTAGTTTTTCATTAAGATAGTATACTCACTGGCAGAATTAATACTAAGAATTGAAATGGTAACTTTAACAAAGAGATAAGATTTAATATAGAACCATGCATTGTATTTTAGCAAAGTTAAAAAAATATTTTTTGTTAGGGATGTAATTGAATAGTTAATTCAGAAGATTAAGGAGCATATTTTAACTGAATAAATACATAGGTGTTCATGGGAATATATAAGTATCAGAGAGAGTATGGTGAAGTGTAGTTTCTTACTGAACGCAATATTGTTTTTACAACATCATTATACTGGCAATAATGATGAGCTTTAACATTCAGTAGTATACATTTTTGGAAGAGATCTTATATGGTCCCACTATTCCATTTTGGAGAAAACACCAACTATTAAGGCAGTAGAGTTTCCTACGCTGAGTCTGAAGAAAATCTACTGTTTACCAATATTGCAGAATGAATCATAGGACTATTCATATTCAATTTCTAATAAGCAAACTGCTAATTTTTGGAAGAACACAAATGCTAATATGCATAAACTCTGGAAAGCTCTGGAAACGGAATGCTTTTGCACTCATTCAAGTCAAGTTCACTCTTAAATAGAGTAGAACAACCAGGGAGCACTGTGTACTCATGCAAGTAGTACAGGAAATGGTTAGGAACCAAATCTTTTTCATCTAGGAAAGTTTCACTACTTTATAGTAGGGAAAAAGGCAATTAAGTAAAAAAAAAAAAAAATGAAAGAAAGTGTGGTGATGCATCCCCCACCCCACACCACCCCTCACCAGATAAGTGAGAAAACAATCAGTGGTATTTCACTGGGGTTTTTTTGAGCGACCTTAAAACAGTCATTTCACGATAAATGTTATGTCAACTGATAGGCAACAGCCCTTCTGACTCCACTAGTCTTCAATCTGTTTTCTAGGGATGAAAAGCATATGCAAAAATATCAACTTTGTCCATAAATTTGTACTCACCAAAAATGCGGAAAGAAGTTAGTTTCCCCGTCGTGACTGCAGATACCCTTGGAGACTGAAGTATTAAACACAAAAGGAATCTATCTTCTTAACACAGTGATATATCACCACTCTTCCACATAACAATGTTCACAGAATGATATACAGAACTTTCTTTGCTGTTAACCAGACTGACCATGTACTTGTTGATTGCTGCAATGCTTAAGAAATGTAAAAAACTATGTTGGATGACTTGCTTAAGGACAGTACTAAGGAGAAAAAAGAGATTTGCCACAGTTGAAGCGAAGTAACTAATGGGCATCTAAGAGATGAGAAGGTTCTCTTAATGGTGCTGAAAAGGTATCAGTTGTTGAAAGTAATGTACTCCAAGTGTCATGTCAGTTCATAGCCCCAAAGAAAATTATCTATGCTTCCTGTCAGACAAGAAGTTTCACATTAATAATACTGCCTTGTTCTAGGGAGCCACAGGGATTTTATGTGCACAGATAATATAATCCTTTTCCCAGACTTCTGTGTCAACAGAATTAGTTGTCACAGACATCACCAGCAAGACAAGTTAGTTTCAAGTGCTCTGAGAAGCTGAGTTTTGTACACATCTCGATTCCCCAATGAAATATTAGGAACTTTTTTCTTACATATACCCAGTGAGCACAAAAAACAGCCAATGACAGAAGTTACATCTTTTCTGTGGTCATTCAATCATTTCTGGTTTTTGCTAATACCTATTCCTCAAGACTCTTGGCAATTATAATTAATTAATCCACCCATAAAGCTACTATGTGTGATTCTGTGATTCAGACTTTACAGATCTCCCCCCTTAAACTTGTATAACAGTACAGTACAACAACATACTTCAGTAAGAGAAAGAAGATTCAAAAACATAGTTAGATTAAGAAACATGAAAGTTAGACATGTACCACCTTTTTTGTGCAATTGTTCATCACCTAGAGAGTCTCTACAGAAGCCACCACTTGCTGCGGTAATAAAAGACTAATTGTATTCCTTACTGGTCTTCTGCAATAGCTGAGTTAATGAAGGAAGTGTACTCATACTACATACAAAAATCAAAGTAGAAGACAATTAAATCTATGAAGAAAGCACCTGAAATTTCAGTTTCTTTTTGTAGCTAATTTTCTTTTTAGGAGAAAAAAAGTTATGATCCAATATGAAACGTAATACAAAAAAATTATTTTTTCTGTTTTTCTGTAAAAGAAGATTTCCATCTTATACCTGGGAACCTCTGCCAGTCATGGATGCAAGCTGTGAAGGGCCACAGATCACCACTCCGATGAAATCTGAGCTCAACAGGATTAATGTGTCATTCAGAGAGACAAACTCTTACCTTGCCCTCAAGAACAGTAGCTGTTCCATCACAGCAGCATTTAAGGACTGCAAAAATCATGACATGTTCTGTAAGTCTTAGGGGCTGTAGGCAGGGCCACAGGGTCACGCCACTCTCAACCATTTACCAGATGAAGACAGCTTTGAACACATTGGTGGCATCTCGATATCCGCTGCTGTAAATGGCTTCCGTTTCTGACCCTACCAAGGACTCAGAAACAGACACCTGCCAAGTTACTGAGAGCATTCCCTTTGGAACCAGAACCATGAATCATGAAATAACCTGTACCCTGGATTATGTCTGGTGATAAGGAAACCTAGCAGTTTTGTGGCTTCCTCCTGTGTATAAGGTTATTAAAGACTTTTTTTCTCTTTTTCAAGCCTGCCAGTGAGACCGTGCTGCACTATTTAAATCCAGAATGCAACTCTTCACAAAGATACTTCAGAACGTCCAGTCTTTTGGAGCAAAAGTAGTTAGAAAAAAAAGCAGCAAACTATGCAAATGTGTTGACCGCTAATTTTTACTGCCTAAAGGGGTAAAAAGAGCAATATATCTTTTACAGTTTCTCTGGAACCATTAAAGCTACCACTTCAAGTTCTTTCATTCAATGAAATGATTTTGCAATGTGAAGAACCAGAGCAGTTCATATGTTTAACTTACTCACTAGACTGTGCTGGAGGGTCAGAAAAAGTGCCTTGACAGGAAGGTAAAGACAAGATCACAGCATTGATGCCTTAAACCCCTAATGTCTTTTTATTTTTCTAATTTTGTAAACCTTATAAGTTTTATAGGTAATAGAAGTAGATTTTAGAAATAAACCCCTTTCTCCCTCCTCCCCATAGTATCCCTTAGTTTATACATTCCTTAATCCTTTCACCCCCTTCCATACCCCCCATATCAACCCTATTCCCATATCTAGTAGATGATGTTTAGTCTTTTAGTCAAGGCAAGCCTGTCTTGTTTGGAGAACGCTT